AATTTTGACGAACAGGGGCTGAAGACAAACAAAATTGAAGGAAAAATAGCGAAATCATCGACGAGGTGAGGATATTACCGTGTGGAGAAAACGGAATGCAAAAATTAGGACAATTCCATGGAGAAAAGTTATCTGCAAACTCCGAGCTTCTTGCGGTCGAAAGCGGCGTGAATGAGGGAGCAGAAGACCTAAAGTATATATTTCGGGGGCATTTTAGTAATTGCAAGTTTGAAGGATATGGGCTCATTATTGTATCAGGAAAAAAATGTGGGATATGGGCATAACAAAAGGGTGTATTGTGGAGCGGGCTTTTGCCATATCAAAGGCTATCAAACCTCCAACCAAACAAATTAAACTTGTTGAATTTATATGTATTGAGCTGATATCAAGCCCAATCAGCCCAACCAAACACTGCCTACGAGAAAATGATGGAATTTCAATGGAAAAATTCCAATAGAAATATATTCAAGTGGAATTCCAACGGCATTTCCATGGATATTCCAATGCTTTAATTTCCGTTGGAATTTTTCACTGGATTCCAACGAAAATTCCAACAAAAATATTACGTTAGAATGAGTTTTCCATTGGAATTTCTGTTGGATTTGGACGATTTCAACCATAAATTTTCCAACGGGGGTGGTAAAAGAAATTCCAACAGAAATTGCATATCTTAACGAAAATTTCTCCGGTAAAAAACCGTTGGAAAAATAGTCGATGGAATCATCAAATTTCATCTAATATTCTAATGAAAAGCTCATTCCAACGGAACATATTTGTTGAAATCATTCCAACCGAAGCTATATCATTGGAATATCCGTTGAAATTTCCATTAGAATATATTATCGTAGGATTTTCCGTTGGAATATAATAATTTATTTTTATAGTGATAACAAATGATCAATATACACCATATTACAGTATATGGTGTATAGGATGAAGAATTGTGTATAATACAAAAAGTAGGCATACCATAAAAATATTATTATTATTATTTTTACATAAACCATAATGTGGTATAAAAATTATATTTCAACATAAATGTGGCCTATAATTTGTGGTGTGTGATATCAACTATATTTGAAAAAAATGTAACAAGTACAAAGGTTATTAATTTTTGAAATGCAAATGTATTTTAAGTTAGTCAAGTATTTAAAAAACTTTAAAGTTCTAATAGGTATAGACAAAAGTCCAATACACTAGAAATTGACACATAGGATTACAAAGCACCAAAATTTGACACATAGATTACAAAGCACCACAAGACACGGCTCGAAAACCTCTGGATTTATTTATGAGAGATAGTTTTGTTCATTCAAATAACTTAATTTATCATTAATGCAAATAAAAGAGCTAGTATCCTTTTAGGGAATAAAACAATAAAAAATTGAACAAGGTTTGCTTTTAATTAGGACATTATAGTAGTCAAAAGTATAGTTTTTTTCTTTACAACTTCGTGTACGAGATGGTCAAACTGTTAGGCGGATCAACTAGTCAAATGCATACACTTATGAAATGTCATGTTTTATTTATTTTGTTTTATCAAGTATGACATTTTCCATATACATAAATTATTATTCTTACTTTCATAGTTTCATTTGACAAATTAATTTTTTTTAAGAAGATATGGTTATCAAATTTTCAATTTTGTTCAACATTTTTTTGGTTTTTTTTAAAAATCATGTGACAATTTACTGATTTAGTAGATAATATAATAATAATAATAATAATAATAATAATAATAATAATAATAATAATAATAATAATAATAATAATAATAATAATAATAAGTTAAAAGTTGATTTTACGAAATAATTGGAGCAATAACGCGTGACACAAAAAAGGAGTTTGGAGAACAAGTTACCTTAAAAAAAAGGGATACAATTGATTAGTTTGGATTATAATTCTAGTATTTATTCCAAATATGAAGCAGAACTTACCAAAAGTATACATATACAATCCTCTGTTCTCTCACCACAAATTCCCGAGTTACCAAGGAAATTAATTAGTGCAAATCCAAAAATCTCGAGAAAGCATGGCAACAGGTGCAGTAGTTGGTCAGTCTGGATACGCGCGGTTTTTCCCGGGCAGGAAAAGAGCCCACCGATCAAAAGGGGCCGCCGCCGCTGCCGCCGCCGGGATTCATATCAAGAAAAAGAAGGCCCCGTTGCCCGATGCCGACTACGACGACGACGACGACGATCTTCAGAGTCCTCTTAAGAAGAGAAGATTAGTCTCGAAATCATCAATTTCCAGTTACGGAAGCATACACGACTACGAGTGTCTCAACAGGATCAGCCAGGGATCGTACGGCGCCGTCTACAGAGCACGTCACAAGACGACCGACGAAATAGTGGCCATCAAGAAGGAATTTGGCGGGCTCTGCAAGTCGACCCTTACCGAAATAAACATCCTGAGGTCCATTCGCCACCCGTCGATCGTGGAGTACAAGCACGTGGCCGTGGACGATTGCGACGACGGGATATACGTTGTCATGGAGTACGTTGAGTACGATCTTCACGAGTACCTCAAGCGGTCCTCCTTCACTCTGCCTCAAGTCAAGCGTCTTATGAAGGAGCTACTCGAGGGAGTCAATCACCTTCATCAGAATCGTGTGATGCACAGGGACCTCAAGCCTTCCAACGTCCTTGTCGACGCCAAGGGCAAGCTCAAGATATGCGATTTCGGGGTGTCCCGTCAGTTTCCGAGCGCGCTGGATCCTCCCTGCACACCTCACGTTGGGACCCTTTGGTACGCGGCTCCCGAACTCTTTCTCGAACCCCACACCTACTTGGCGGCTGTTGACATGTGGTCCGTCGGCTGCATTATGGCGGAGTTCTTCCTGAGGCAAGTGCTTTTCAAAGGGGCCTCGGAAATCGAGCAGCTTCGGATTATCGTGACCAGTCTCGAACAGCCTCATAGTTTGCTGCGCGAAAAGTTTGCTGCTGCTTCGGAAGGTGGGGTGTTGCTTTCGGAGAGTGGGTTTGAGCTGCTCTCACGCCTTTTGTGTTACAGTCCGAAGGAAAGGATAACGGCTCAAGACGCGCTCAATCACGAGTGGTTTTGCGAGTCGTAGACCACCGGCCCAACTAATCTCTGTTTCTTGGATTGATTTCTTATGGTGTAAATGTAATTGAGATGGCTATAGAGAGCACCCCTTTCACTCTGTTGACATTTATTTGTAGTCATTTGCTTAATCTATTGACATTTTTTTTGTTCCCCAACACAACTCTGAGAGCACCACCACCAATTTATTTATTAATTTGCAAAATCTACTTCAAGAGCTTCCATAGGCTGATCTTTAATTAAACTAGTAGTTTGGACCTACCCAATTATCTGAACAAAATAAACAAAATTTCATTATTGAAGTGGAAGTTAACGAATCTCAGTTGAGTTGTCATTTGATAGCTATTAGCATAAAACCAAATAACAGTGTTACATGAGAAAAGTGGAACTTTTGATTAGAAACGATCACCATTGTACCCGGAGCAGTAGTTCAGAATTCGGAGATTGGAAAATCGTAAAATCACAGCGCAAAATTTATGGCAAAATTGAAATCGAAATCGATGAGATATCGAAATCACATCAAAGAATCGAAAACAAAATATGAATAACAACGCAAAAGGAAACAAAATTGGATGTTTAACATACGAATGATACCATGTCAAATTGATGATAGAGAGCAAGAGAAAGAATAGATAGAAAGGAGAGGAGAAGATAAATCGATTGAAAGAGAATGAATAGTGATCTCATTATGTTTTGAAAATTTGTATTTATAGTACATAATGTAACTAAAGGTGCTATTACAACCAACACTTTATCTATTACAACGATATTTTGGCTTATTTATTTCCCTATAAGTATGTGTTAAGCACTTATTTTAAATATTGTATTTTATTAAAAATGAAAAATAAATAGTAATAGTAAATATTTTATAGCAATTTTTATTGATTTGATAGAGAATATCAAATCCGTATATTGATTTTTTTTATTTTATTTTTTACGAAACGACAGATGATATTATTACACGCAAATGTACAAATATAAGATCGGTATATTGTTTATTTAAAATATCTATTTGAACAAATCATATCCAATAGTTAAGGATGACCTTATCCTTTGTAGTTTCTACAAAGAAAAGCCACTGTTCTCTTACTAGATGCAAGTCCACCAAAGTATTCATGCTCTCGCGGGCAGCTAAGTCACAGGTAAAAATTACTTCTTCCAGATCATATTTTTCTCATGAGCCGATTTTACCCCTGCGGCTAGGTTGATCGAATAAAAAACAGAGTAACAAAAGAAGAATAACGAGAAAAAAAAAAATCAAAATCTAAAAATAAAATTCATTCACCAATACCAATTCAGCTTCTTCGTTTCTTGATTGTGTTTGTAAATTAGGTGATAATTTTAAGGACTGATTGATTTGTTAAGAAGAGGTTCAAGCTTCTTGTTGAGAGAAGATGACAATATGACATACGAATTAAAAACGAGAAAGTAAACAACACAAGATTTACGTGGTTCGTCAATACACCATGTATTTATATCATAACCTTACAAGATATTAATTTACTTAAATATCCTGTACCGTACAGCCATGTCAATATAGTGAAGCCTGTCTCCTTTCTTTGTGAATACACTCGTATACTGACACTTCTCAACTATGGCTATAGTGAAGCTGAAACAGCATGCCGTAATTTTGACAAAAAAGAGTAGTTTTTTGGGAGGGGCGCGGTTGGGAAATTTTTGGATTCATGAGGGGCAAATATGTCAATTAACGGGGACTGAACATGGGCGAAATTATTGTTTGCCTTGGAGAAAAGCTGTCTCCTTTTTACTTCATTCATTTTTCATTATTGAGATGAGATTGTACGGATAGAAGCGCGGTTGTGGAGGTGGTGTCTCAGTTTGTTTTGGTTTGGTTGAGGTTAGTAAAAATCTTTGTTTTGTTTTGTTTTGTTTTGTTTTTTTAGCTTTTGCTGTATTCGTCTTGACAATTCAATTGAGTTGCGTGGTGAAAACATTATCGTTTTTGTTGGGGCTGATGAAAATGTAAGAAACTTGACAATGGCGGGGTCGTTGGTATAATGAAGTTGTGTTTGGGTGGTTGTAGTTGTCGGATTTGAGGTAGCTCGTTAGAGCTTGTTTCAGTGAAGCAGATTGAAACTCATAGTATTTGGCTTCATGCTGATTGTCGTGTGTCATCTGTGGACTGCCCACATTCTGTTTCTGTACATGATTCAAGGGGAAAGAAAGAAATTCTGGTTTAATTTTATATGGAAGCACGATTTGCTCGAAAATGTTTATGCTTTTTGTGGAATTCAAGCATAATACAATGTAGTGGGTATATGTTGATGGATATGAAAGTTTAAGTATAGTATAGTATCATTGTTAATTCAAGGATCATCCTGCAGGACTTCTTGAATCAGGCAATAGTGGAAGTGGACACAATTTGTTGAACGATGATAGCTTTCCCAAGTGCGGCCGTGCAATCCAGGTACATGCTCATGGAACACACAATTCGTCAACTTAAAAACACACTAACCTGCATTTATTGTGTTGTGTGTGAATACATTCGTGTCTCAGTATTCGTCAAACTTGACAAATATTTGTTCCTGGCAGTTCCTTGAGATGCCCTTTTACCCGGGAGACAAATGGATTATGTATACATAAAGGTTCTGTTTCTTCCGTTGCTTTTATGAGAAAGAGAGTTGAATGGAAGGAAACAAGAGCGGCAAGAAAACCAGAAATAGTGGCTTCTAGTATGTCACTTTCTCTAAACAGCCCACATGAGGCCAAGGGTGATAAGGAAAATGTTGTGTTTTTCGGGTTAAAGAAGCCAATGGATGTAAGAAGATCTAACCAAATATTTAGTTTATACAGGTATATATCATTTTATGCCCAACGTTTTGTGGTGCACTAAAATGTAGTAACATACTAAAATTCATACTTATTTTTAATCTGTTATTCCTTGGTATGTTGTTTGAATTGTGAATACATTGTATAATTTTCCTTTCATATTAGGTATTCTTGGTGTTGGTCTTAGTATTGTGGGGCAACAGTCAATTCGTGAATTTGGTTCATAGTTTAGCAACTTGTGTTTTCACTATATGAGGACTACATCAGCTGCTTGTGTTTTATTTTAATTTGATTTTTCTTTTTGGGTATCTCAACATGAGGCTTTCTGGATTCATATATACCTTAGTCTTTATAAAGAAGCTTTTAAATATCACTAAGACGATGCTAATCTCTCTTCTTCTATTTGTTCCATGAAGCGTCACTCTCTGTGGAGATCATTTGTTGTTTCCTTCTACTTCAGATCAATTGCCTACCTGCTGGTTGATGAGTGTCCTAAACTGCCTTGTAAATTGATGTTATAATCCTGTTATCTCAATTATCAGTTTATTTTGACTCAACAAAGCAACAACTCTATTTTGACGACTGTAGGAGTACTGGAGTTTATTGCAAGGCAGCCTCCTCTGGAGATATATCCAGCAGTGGTCCTAGTCAAATGAGCCAGTATGAGAAAATTATTGAAACATTGACCACTCTGTTTCCTGTATGGGTATGTCTCCACCATTATATTGTATCTAGAAGATTAGAATTTTATATTCTCTTAGAGAAGAGTTATTTTTAGGGAGTCACATTTTATTTTTTGCTAATTGCAGGTCATTTTAGGTACTGTCATTGGTATTTACAAGCCTGCAATGGTGAGCTTCTACCAGTTCCTGCATCTTAAAAAATAGTGATCATTTGAAGTGACTCAGATCTTCAATTTCTTGCAGGTAACTTGGTTAGAAACAGACTTATTCACGGTTGGTTTGGGGTTCCTCATGCTTTCAATGGGATTGACATTGACATTCGAGGACTTCAGAAGATGCTTGCGCAATCCTTGGACTGTAAGTTGTAATTCATCAATAAACCTTTTGGAAAATATTGGTCAAAAGGAGTGGGGTTTTATATCGTTTTGAATGGATTAACTTTTTATTTCAGGTGGGTGTAGGATTTTTGGCTCAGTACCTCATCAAGCCGATGTTAGGCTTTTTCATTGCTATGGTATGTCTTATCTTTCATGAACTCTGTCAAGATTGTTCTTATTATGAGTTTTAAACTGAAAATAAAAATTGAGTCAAAACTACCAAACTTTATTATCTTCACAAGTGTTAAGAAAATTGCTTGCATGTTGTTCTGTAAGTACTAGAATGGTTTGATCATCCCTCAAATCTGGCCACAATATGTGACTATTATTTCCTGCACCGAGGATAACTTTCTTTGAAATTTTCTACAGACACTAAAATTGTCTGCTCCTCTGGCCACTGGACTTATTTTGGTGTCATGCTGTCCTGGAGGACAAGCATCAAATGTTGCTACATATATATCCAAGGGCAATGTTGCACTTTCAGTTCTCATGACGACGTAAGCTTAAGTTTTGCTTTTGAATAATCTTATCCTTTGGGCATATTGGTTGCTTCATTGTACTGGCTTTCTTTAGTTGGAACTTCAGGTTCGGTCTGACTAACACAGTTTTCTAGTTCAAGGAATCCATAGTTGACAATAAAGATTTATAGGTCCTCCATAAGTTATAGAGCCCATGTCTAATGTCTACTGTTGCTTTTCAAGGTTCTAATTAACTATTTGTAGAGAATGAAATCGCCAGTGGCAAGTCCATGCGCTGCCCTGAGGCAGAAAAAACTATGGACATTGTTCTATCATAAGGTCCATCCCCCTACCATTTTCTACTTGCTATAATGAATTGTTCCATCGTGATTAAGGCTTTTCCTTTAACTAAGCTTGAACATGCTAAACTGAAAATGGGATATGTAGCAACTATAGGTCATGCTAATGGACCTTATATATTTATTAATTATCCTTTGAGTTTAATACTGGAGTGATGAGAAATATCAGAGAAAGAAGTTATTGCTTATTAAAATCACTGAGGTGCTAGACTACTAGTGCATATATCTTAAATCATCTTGGTAAAATGCAATAATATTCAGGAAACAATGTAATTCTTCAATAGACTACGTCGATAAGATAATGTTACAGAAAAAGGGACCTATACCATCTGTATCATTGTATGACTATATGCAGTATGTTAACATATATCAGGGTAAAAAAGATAATGGTATACAGATGAGTTTGACTGGGAGATCATTTTATATTGCAGTTGTTCCACGATTGGGGCCATTGTGATGACTCCGCTCTTGACAAAGCTTCTAGCTGGCCAACTTGTGCCAGTTGATGCAGCAGTAAGTTCCTATTTTCCGTGATGGTTTCGTACAGAAATGCTATATGTTCAGTTTATGAAGCAAATGTGTTTTCCTAATATTTTCTAGATTACCACAAAAGCAGGATCGTAGTATATCTGTGTGAATGGTGTTGCAGCTGATTCTTGATTGACAGCTTGTATGTGGGCTGCTCAAATTTGCTTTAGGGGTCTCTCTGCTTATAATAGAATCTCAACGGCATTCAATCATATTTTAGACTCCTATTACAAAAATTACGTGTACTGGGGATTCTTTGCCTGTCCGCTTAATCATCAAGTTTATTGTTCTTACAGGGCTTAGCTATCAGCACATTTCAGGTTGTGTTAGTGCCAACTGTTATTGGAGGTAAGCTACAAACATCAATCTGGGCTTACTCTATTATATTTCTCTGGACTGATTTTTTTTTTTCATTCCCTCGACATCTCTCTATTTAACTCGTCTTTTTCTACTTTCCTTCTGTTTTGCAGTTTTATCGAACGAGTTTTTCCCAAAGTTCACCTCAAAAATAATTACCGTTACACCGTTAATTGGGGTTATCCTGACCACTCTTCTCTGTGCCAGTCCAGTAAGTTAACAATTTAATGGGACGCTAAAATAAATTTTATCATTCTCGATAACAACCTACCATCCTGCTCCATTCTTTCTCTTTTTCCTTGTTTTCTTTCTGTGCTTTTACATAAAATACTTTTTTGTTTCATCAGATTGGGCAAGTTTCAGAAGTGCTGAAAACTCAGGGTGCACAATTATTACTCCCAGTGGCCTTATTACACGCTGCAGCCTTTTTTCTTGGTTATTGGATATCAAAATTATCATTTGGCGAATCAACTTCCAGGACCATATCTATTGAATGTGGAATGCAGGTATGTAGTTCGAGTGTCTTTGAGATATCTAAGTTGTAACATTCTTGGATTTGGAGGCTCGTTTGTATGATATCTGATTCTTCTGATATGTAATTGTCGCTAGTCAGGTCATGTCTTTTCAAAGTCGATTTTAGATTTTGATTATTTTTGCAGAAAAAGAATGTTTGCTTGGAGTGGAAGTCATCTTCAACTTGTTATTTGCACATAGGAGCTCTTACAGAAGCTTATATCTTTATATATATTATCAGTTAAATGTCCACTAAAGCTCCTCTTTATGTTTTTATTCAGAGTTCTGCACTTGGATTTCTGCTAGCCCAGAAGCACTTCACAAATCCACTTGTGGCTGTACCTTCTGCCGTGAGCGTTGTCTGCATGGCGGTATGTCCTTTAGCTCCATACGATTATGCACATACATAGGATAAAAACGCTATGAGATGAAGTTCAGTTACCTCCCTGAAAGAATAAAACCAAACAAACAAGCAAACTTTTTGCTGATAGATTTTAAATTACCAATACAAAATATTTAGTGGTGAGTTTTCCTTTTGTAACTTACGACTCGTGTTTTCTACAGCTGGGTGGAAGTGCCCTAGCAGTGTATTGGAGGAACCAGCCGATTCCGATTGATGACAAGGACGATTTCAAGGAATAGAAAGATCGACATTTTTCTTGCCATAAAATGTTATTGCTTCTGCAGATTTAGTTTGGGGTTGCATTATTTATGAAAACAAGAAGCATTTTGTCAATGGTTATTGAGAGAAGATGAAGTTTCAAGTGTAGTAGTTTGGTGGCTTTAATTTTTCAGTTTTCCACAAGATTGGCTTATGTTACATGTGTATTAAATTTGAAAATTTAAAAAAAAAAAATGTTTTATAAAGTAACTCATCACTTATAAGACTCATTTGCCTTATATTGAAAATAGTTTTCTTTTCTCAAGTCATATCACAATAGATAAATTGATTTAATTAAAATAAAAGTTATTATTTCCCCATTGTAATTGATCATATTTTAATTATTATTTATAAAGGTAGATTTAGTTTTCTATATACGGGATGTGGATGCGAAATCAAAAATCGTCAAAAATTGATTAATTTAATATTTTATTTATAAAAAATAACGTATAAGAAAATGTTTTTAACAAAAGGCATTTATGATTCAAGTTGACAAAAGTTCTAAAATTACAAAACCTCTTAAATCGATACATAAATTAATTAAGAACTAGTAATCCACCCGTGCGATGCACGGGCTAAGATTAAAATTTATATATTTGTCAATGATTGTTCAAACACATCAGAAAAGATTTTGAGTTAAAAAAATCATCTCACTAAATTTAATTATTACATATCTTGGACACCTAGTTTTATACATATTTTAATGAAATTATGAATGTTCCATACATTAAAAATCATTATTCTTTATGGGTAAAGAAAAAGGCATATATTCAAAGGAAAGGGTGCCTGCAACTCTTTTTCATCCGATAGTTTTTTTTTATTGTCTTTTGCACTTAACAATAATTAGTCAAATAAAGTAAGACGTTTAACATTCTCTATATGATGGTCATTTTTTTTTTTTT